AAGTATGTTAGTTGACATCATCACAAAAACTTTGTTATAATTGTTGAGCCATTTCCTATAATAATTGCTTTGTTAGCCCTGAGGTTAGTTTTTAAAGCTTGAATTATGAATATTTCATATTATATTATTTTCATATTCCACGTGCATGCCTCATGCAAATTAACTTTCTTATAACCTCACACTGACCTTTACTTCATTGAAGGAAATTAAATTGTAAAATGAATCTGCTTAGGAAAATCTTTTTCAAAAAATGTCTCTTTCTCTACGTTGTTGAGGTTCAACAGAAGCCTTTAGCATTCCAAGTCATAAATCCTATTATATAATGAAATGAAAATCTAGTTAATTGACAGAAAATTAAAATATTTTGTTTGTCTCAGGATGAAAATGAAATAACAATGTTTAAAATATTGGAATATGGTAGAATATAGTAACTACAACAATTAGCTCTTAATATTTTCAGGATTTCAAGATGCTTTTCTAACCATATACTGGCCTATTTGACATTTTCCTCAGGCTGCTTGAATATTGATGAAACACACAATGAAACAAAGGCATTTCAGTTCTGTAAATATCTGAAAATCCCGTATTTGTACTTCCAATAATATATTCATAGATTAAGAAATAAAAAATACCTTAATTACCTAGAAACAAAATTTTGCATGTTACTACACAATAAAACTATTTTCTGTTTTATCTGAGAGTGCTTTCAGAACAGTTTTTTTTTTTTTAAGATTTTATTTATTTGAGAGAGAGAGTACATGAGTGGGGAGAGGGACAGGCAAACTCCCTGCAGTCAAGTTCAGAGCCCACAGGTGAGGGGAGGCACCATCCCAGTACTCTGAGATCATGACCTGAGCTGAAACCAAGTCAGACGCTTAACCGACTGAGCCACCCAGGCGCTCCTTCAGAACAGATTTTAATCTCTGATGATTTCCGAGGAAAAGAAAAATACAGGTTTGGTATTTTCTATTCACAAAATCTCAGCTGCCTTCTAAATTTTACATATGTAACCTGATGATGCCTGGTGGCACTGATGTCCTGTATACTAAAGAAGGAGAAAAACTTTGGGTTTCCTGTGCACTGTTTATTTTAAATTCACATTGCATCTTATTTTCAACACTCTGAAATCATATTACATGGGCTTTACTTCCTTTATCTAAACATCCTGATTCAATTTTCATATTAGAGTGTTTTTTAATGTAACATCATGCATGGAATCAAAAATAGAAGCATTGGTATTTATTTTCACACCAAGAAAGTTTTGTTTGCATGCCAGGCTTCAAGGGAACACACCTATAAAGACAGAGTATATAGATTTTAGAATAATCTTGATAAATTATTACTTCGTTTAGGAAGATGAAGTCTGAGAGAGAGAATAACCAGCTCTATAAAATCAAGAGACCCAATTTCTTTTTCAGGAATTTTAATTTTAAAAGAAGTAGAAGACAGAATAATAGTATATAAAGTCATGACATTCTCAAGCTTGTTGACTTTAGGAGGTGGAAAACAAAAAAATATATAGATTCTATAATTGTTTAGTAAATTCTATGACTCAGTTACATGTAACATTAATAAATACACAAAACTCTTTCTCATTTGAGGACTTTTTCATAGATATTTATTTTCTATTTTTCCAACTCCCTTTTCCTCCCTCCCATTCTGTCACAGCCTACATTTACTTCTGTATGATTCATTATTTTACTAGGATGTTAAATGCTCCTTTAATTTATGTGGGAAAATTAGAGGTTTTAAAGAGAGTATATTCATCAAAAACTTTCAAATGTATAATTGTGATTTTACATTTGATTTCAGAACCCTTCTTTTTTTTTTTTTTCTCATTGATGTAAAATCTGGTCTGAATTACCACATATCCTCTGAAAAGACTTGAGCAAACAACCCATATCTTTGCTAAAGACTTAGCTTTATAACATGGAAGAGAAAATTTAACCTCTATGGTTAAAACTTATAATTTAAATGTTCATTTTTTTATATCATTAATTTTAACCACTGTTACTCATTCTAGTACATATGTACCATATACAAAGTATGAAAGAAGCAATGAGATTTTTTATAAAACAAAATAATAAATCAGTGGCTCCAATTAAATTTTATTAAAATGATTCAACCAAATATTCAAAAATTAGGGTAGCTTCTACTTAAAAATGAATTTAAGAGATTAACCTGTAATATATGACACATATCCTCAGTATAAAAGCCAAATACCACACTACCTAAATGTAGTTTTATATAAAGCATAGCTTTCAGCTGAATATTGTACTATGCAGATTTTATCAGGTAACATACCATGAAGAAAGTTTCTTTCTCTCTCCCTTTCACTCTTTAATTCTCCTCTGAATGTCCAGTGCTAACAGTACCGATCAAACACAAAGTGTTCAATAAATATTTGTTCATACATACAACGTGCTACAGAAGAAGGGTTGGCTATGCTATTACCTTTCATTACTTCAGGTAATGTAAATGAATAAACTTGTGGTTAAAATGGTAAGTATTTTTGTGTTTGCTTCCCCTTTATAGACCAATGATAATGAAAAAGCAAGGAAATTAAATACAGTTGGTGTCACACAGTGAAAATAAACTTAATGTGTTTAAATTTTAGTTAATGTTATGGTTAAGTCTGAGCATTTTGGGGAGTATATATCTTGAATATGTTTTGTCCTGTTTTTGTTTTTGTTTTTTTTCTCCAGGCACCATTGCACATAATTAAAAAGATTTTTTTTTCAGCTTTGTCTTTAAAAGAATATTTAAATTTATAATTTTCCAATATATTTTTATGTGGCTAAATGTCATTATTTACTTTTCTATGTGGGGTAAAATGATAAAAGACTTGGTAAGAGCAAGAGTTATCCCCATATTTATCCAAGAAAAGCTCATTGTTCTCAAAGGACATTTATTTGATTTTAACATAAAAATTAGGAAAATTTATAATTAAAATATGATATTTAAATTCCAGGAATAATTCCCATTATTTCTGTTCACACACTAAAGTCAATGTATACTTGGTACTTTCCAAACATTTTTAAATTTAATCATCTTAGGATCACTGTAAATGTTTTACTTCAATATTATAAATGAGAAGTTAAAATTCAAAATAATTAGGAAGCTTACCAACATACTACACTTGATAAGTGGCAGAGCCAAGATTCAAATAAATATATGCTACATTCAGATAAAAGTATGCCTTTACTCTTTTCCTGAAATGTGAGCTTTCCTCATAATGCTTCCTTTTGCTTCCATTTGATTCCATAGACATTTATTGAGCTTCTATCATGTATAAAATATGAGAGTATGGGTACTGACTTTTGTCTCTGAGCTTCAAGATACTCCAAATTATCTTCAATCCATTTAAAGATATTGGTTAAAAAAAAATGTAAGCTGCATTACCTGTTGTTTCTTTCCTTTCACTTATGTCTAAGGTATCTACAAAATTACACTTTACTATTAGATCAGTATCTCATATTAATTTTTAGTCTGAAGTTTTCCTTCATTAACCATACTTATTTGCCAACTTTTCCTTGCTTGGATGTCAATCAAGAGGTGCTTCGGAGAATATCAGGTGGTCTACTTAGAGACCAAAATGCAGAGACCATAGAGGATAGAGGATTAGAATCAGAAACGCTGAGCCTTTATATTTAAAAAAATGTGTAAGGTAAAGATGCTCAAAAGTAAATGAATTTCTGACGCACACACATCTGTTTAGGTAGTCCAAGCATTGAGGTTCTCAAGTTCTCCAGCTTCCATTGTATTTTTGTAATGCCTTCAGCCAGTGCTCAGTATTGTCTGCATTTTTACTTGGCTTTTTCACTTCTTTAATTGTTCATTTTGTTTCCTGTTTGTGACCATGTTTTCCTTCCATGGATACAAGTTCTTTGAAGTCAGACATTAAGTTCATCAAAAAGTCCTTCTATGTTTTTGAAGGGTCCCACTGAATTCTTTAAACAAGATATTAGAAAAGTATTACAAATGAAAAAGCTGCATAATATTTATTTGTGGTCCTAGAACAATGCTATTAAAATCAGCCCATGATTTTTCCAGTGAGATCAGAAAGCTTGTATATCAAATCAGAACTGTGCATGAAGCAGTCAGACTCTTTGAAAAGACACTTCTACAGAAAAAGAAAATACAAAGCAGCCAAAGAAAAATTAAAAATCACTTTCTTAGTTGGTTTTTGAAATGCATGATACCTTGTTTTCATATTTATAACAGTATAAAGAAGTGAATTAGCATTAAGATCAGTGACAAAACACTTTAATACTTTCTATCCCAATATCATTCTAAAATAAGAAAATATGTCTGTGTGTAGTTTGATGACAGAAAGGATAATCAACAATCAGCAAGAGCACTTAGTTACCAAACAAACATTAACTGTATGAATGAAGAAGTTAAAAATATTTATTACTATAGGTGATCTGCAGTTTTTATATTTTACATTTCAACTAAAATAACATTTGCCACAGCCAAATGTATGGCATCTTTAAATACACACATTTACATGCAATGCACATTCAAAATAAAATATTTCCCTAAAGCAGAGACATATATACTTATTACATTCTCCTTGAATTTGAATTTGAATTTGAATGATATAGTATTAAATGACTCAATGAGACTTGGAAGAAAAACAATCAATGGGGAAGTACTTTATTTACAGGATACAATGTAGCAGATACACGAGTCTCCAGAGTCTTGGACTCCTTGTTTCTTTACCTCCTCTCATTTCTAATTCTTATCCCAGTCCTAAAAGTCCAAAAAAGAAACCTAACTACTTCTGGGATAAACCTCCTTTAGGCCTCATCCAAACTACTAATAGCCCACTACTTCAGTAGCAATTTCTGCTAGCAGATGAGAAGATGCTCCTAGTCCCAACCTTGGAGCTATATATAATATGGTCAGGTTTCTACGACTACTAGAAATGTGCTCCCCTTACTGGGTAAGCCTCTGTTCATTTAAGGATGAACCCAAATGTGGATCCCATTTTCAGTTATCAATGTGGGTCATGTTTAACCTGGAAGTTCTACAGAGGTGAATGTGTCTTCCCCAAAGTTCCTGTTTCTGGCTTATAACTAGAAGTGATACATTGTTTATTCTTGAAACAGGGTTAGTAACCCAAGAACAATGATTGTCCTCTCCTATTATAAGAACCAGATCACTTCTACTCTCTATGACTGAGAGTGAAAGAGTCTTCGTCATTATGGATAATGTGTTCTGAATATATGGATATCTGAACATTAACTTTCTTTACATGTAGAAAAAATATCCAAAGTAGATATTTGGTCTAAGTATAGACAATTTTGCAAAAGCTTAACTTTAACTCAACTTTACAGTCTTATAACACATTCTTATTACTTCTTTACTTTCTTTCCATTAAGTAATATGTTTTTCTGATTATGAATGGAATTAAGTCAAATGGAGGCTTTACAGAATATACTGGCAGATATAGTATGTGTTGTTATAATGTTAAGTTTTGATTTCCATTTTTAAAATCCTTTGACACAACGCATTTTATTTTAAAACATGTACTCATTTGTTAGAAGTAAACATGCTATATCTTAAAAGCAGATTACAGGTTTGCCACCAAAATGAACACAATTAATTTTCTTTATAACCAAATGGCAACATCTGACTTTACATCTTGGAACTCCGTACAGGTGAATGAGCGTGATCGTCTTCTAAGATTTGTTGGTCTCTGAGGTCTTCCTTCTATCAAGTCTAAATATATATCAGATTTCAGAAAACGTGTGTAACTGTCTTGTTCCATAAGCTGATACACTCTGCTTTGCGCAGCATCAAAACTGTGTAGGGTAGGTTGGGTGATGCTCTTGCTAATGACTTCTTTGGTGTGAAAATCAAGGTTAACCTGGATGATAATAATAACAAAAAGTATGATTATGGTCAATCTACTTAAGTAAACACTTTTGAAAACCAAACAGTGCAGGACTGATCCAATGTTGGAGTGGGCATAAAGCACTTGGTTGCTTTTGTGATTTTTTTTTTTTTTAATAAGTCTAAGGATCCAGTGATTTACTCTGGGGTGACATTTCATCTGGCTCTTCTCTTCCTTTGCTCCTGGTCCTTCTCACTCTCTGCTGATTTAGAATAATGAAACATTGTAAATATCATTAAGACCATCAGATTAACCCATTTTCAACGTGGAAATGAAACTTCATAGAAACTAAATTATTTTGAATGAGGGCAAAGGGTGACTTGGGGGTATATATGGGATTTCCATGCAGGGCTTTTGTTTTATCCCCGTGCTCTTTTCATTTTATTATGATGCTTTCTTACAGGCAAGTGTAAGCTAAAAATGGTTATCTTTTAAAGATAAAAAATCCTTTAATGGTTTTTATCAGAGCACTACTGCTATATCTGATTCTGATAGATGTTAAGTTTTCATTTAGGGTTCCTTCCTTTTCCCTCAGGGGTAACACTATACAACTAGCTGCTTTTAAAAAAAAATTGTTTATAAAATTGGCCTTGGGAAAAACAGAATAATGCACTGAAACACAGAACAGATTGAGACTTATTGATACAAGAAAAACAATCATCATTCCATGTGAAATGATATCCACATAAACAATGCTACCTCATGGACATATTAATTTATAGTGAAACAGAACTCTTAACAGTGGTATACTACCAATCCTACCATTTCAGCAAAGAAACACTATTTATTGAACACATAATAAAAATATAGAAACTCTATTTAAATTATTTTTGAGGGCAGTCAGGTAATATTTGCTAGTTGTATAATTTTATTGCTATAGTTTCAGCAGTTGTATCACACAATTATCTCACACTGTGTTTACAGCCAAAATCACGACTATTTTTTCACTTGAACCATTGTCAAATTAGGTTTTGCTCATCTATCGATTATGAAATTTTCTTTAGCCTATCTTAAAACAGAGGAATAATTATTTGGGGGCAATCAAAATTTCGCATAGATAGATGAGCTCACGCTAAAATGGTACATTATACAAACTTTTTAATTTGTCTTGCCTTCCTCACTTATAGAAATTGTTTTGATAAGACATTGCTTATGCTTAGGTGATTAATACGGATAAGTGAATGAATCTAAAGGCTGCAAGTAATTGTATTTACTCTTGGTCTAGAATAAAAATAACCCCAAGGAATGACTTCAGTTATACTTTAACTTTCATGGCGAAGTCTTACAATGCATTTTGTTCGTATGTAGGAATTTATATAAATATCCGAATTTGCTTCAATAAAATCTTGACCTTTCTGATAGAATATATGAGAATACCGATTTGATAAAGACAGAGTCTTTCAAAAATTTTTCAAGCAGTTTTAAATTTTTACAATTATATTTACTGTACCTCTTGGGGAGCATCATTCTGTATAAATTTCTCATATATTGCTTTTGCTTTAATGATAATTTGTTGAGGGTCTTTACTTTTCTTGAAATCTTCACAGGCTATCCAAAATTCAATGTTTTCCTCACTGAATTCAGTTTTAAGGAATGTGGTAAAAGTCTTCAGTCCATCTACCAGGAAAAGAAGTGATATATTTTAATTATACAATATTAATGCTGAGGAATTGGACTATGTGATTTTCCCCCTCCAAATACGTATAAATTCCAGTTAGTTAATATGCAGTGTGATATTGGTTTCTGGTGTAGAATTTAGTGATTCATCACTTACATACAACTTCTAGTGTTCATCATAAATCCCCATTTTAATACCAACACATCTCTCCACCCACCTCTCCTTCTGTATTATACTACTTGATATTAAAGTATAACTGCAAATATTAACAGAATACCTATGTCTTCCCTCTAATGCAGTGAAGAAACACACATCTGCACACTATATGTGAGAGACCTCATATAATTTAGCTGTAATCTTCACAATTATGTAAAGTATTAATCCTGTTGAAATGAGGCTGATTATCATACATAGACCTATTATACATAGACCCGAGGAAGAGGGACAAACCCCTACTCTGGACCTTGCTTTGGTTCTCTTTTCCTCAGTGCCTTCCTCAGGGATGTGGGGGCTATTCTATGGAGCCAAGAAACTATTCCACCTGGAGCCCATTCTCCCCTCAATGCCCCCTCCCCCACTTCTAGACTATGCTTCTATACTCAGGACCCTGGGATTCCCTGTCTAAAAGCTCTATGTTACCGGGTTTGTACAGTCCTCTTCCCTAAGTTCATCGACTAAAGGCACACAGACTCAAAAGTATGTGTACCCTTAGGATAAGACTTGAATTTGAAGGTTGAGGTGTCTACCCAAATATGCAAAGAGGACTTTCACAGTATGGAATCTAACCATGAGTAGAAAGAGAAGGAAGGTAGGCATGTTGCTAATAGAACTGTGAAAAGTCTGAAAATTTTATATTTAAGCCTAATGGTTACACAGTACATTTATAAAAATAATAAGATGAAATATGTATTTTTAACAGTTTGTTAGCTTGACTTATTGCTCTTAAGCATTTAGATATTTAGTATGGGGTCTCCATTTTTACTTGTGTTCTGAGCTCCATCAATATTAGACATTGGTATCAAGTCTTGTGGAAGATGGCTAGTGTTCAAATTCATGTTTAGCAAGTTACTATGTAGTCCTGAGTGGAATATTTTTCTTTCTTTGCCTCAGTTTTTTATGTTAATTTAAAATTAACATAATGATGATACCTACCTGATCGAGCTGTTTAGACAATGAAAAACATTGATTTCTGGGAAAGATGGAGTAGGAAGACCTTCACCTTTTCCCACAGATACAACTAGATAGCATCCATATAAGTGTAAATAACCCGGAGAATGACCTAAGGCCTGGCAGAACAGACTCTCCACAGCTAAATGCAGATCCACAGGACTGTCTGCAGGAGAGAGGGACACTGCAGACACAGAGAGGGGAGAGAAACAGACCCTTATGCCAGACACCCCAGGCTCAGCCACAATAGTAGAACACATAACACACATAGGAGACACCCCTGAAGTGACAGGTTCTCGGGAATAGGGAACATTGCACTACAGGAAACCATAGGACTTCTTCATAAGACCAGTACTTTCAAGAGCAGATGTAGTTGACTTTCCTAAAACATAGAAACAGACACAGACCATTAGCCAAAATAAAGAGACAGGGGATATGTCTTAAATGAAAGAACAGTACAAAACAGAAAAATAGACTTAAAGAACTCAGCACTATCAAGTGTAATAACTTTTTCATTATATGAATCCCAGAAGAAAAAGAGAAAGGGGGGCAGAAAATTAATTTGAGAAATGATAACCAAAAAATTCCCAAATCCAAGAAGGAAACAGAAACCCAGATCTAGGGGGCACAAAGAGGCCCCAATAAAATCAACCAAGGAGGTCCATACCAAGACACACAATCATTAAAAAGGCAAAATGTAGAGATAACGAGAGAATTTTAAAAGCAGCAAGAGACAAGAAAACAATTACATACAAAGGAAGCCCTGTAAGTCTATAAATTGCTTTTTCAGCAGAAACTTTGCAGGCTGGCATGATATATTCAAAGTGCTAAAAGAAACAAAACAAAACAAAACAAAACAAAACAAAACCTGCAACCAAGAATACTCTATGCAGCAAGGTTATCATTCTGAAAAGGAGAGATAAAAGAGATTCCCAAACAAACAAAAATTAAAAGAATTCATGACCACTAAATCATTCCTACAAAAAAATGTTAAAAGGAGCTCTTTGAATTAAAAGGAAAGACCAGAAGTAGGAAAAAGAAAAGTAGAAAGCATAAAAACAGTAAAGTTAAGTATATCTAGAAAAATTGGTCAAGGGATTCACAAAATAAATGGATACAAAGTATGATACCAAATACCTAAAACATGGAGGGTGGGGGAGAGGAGTAAAGTATGCATTCAAATGTAAGCAGCCATCAACTTAATATAGACTGTTATATACATTAGATATTAGATGAAAACTTAATGGTAACCACAAATCAAAACAAAAAATAGATATGCAAAAAATAAAGACAAAGGAATCCAAGTATATCATTAAAGAGAGCAAACAAACCATGAGAGAAGAAAGCAAGAGAGGGGAGAATTAAAAGTATTACAACATGCAAAATATAAGTGATTCTGGGAAAATTGGATAGCTTTTTACAGAAGAATGAAACTCAACCATTCTCTTACACCATACACAAAGATAAACTCTAAATGAATGAATGACATCAATGTGAGACAGGAATCCATCAAAATCCTAGAGGAAAGCATAGGCAGTAACCACTTAGACATTGGCCACAGCAACTTCTTTCAAGACACATCTGCAAAGACAAGGGAAATGAAAGAGAAAATGAACTTATGGGACTTCATCAAGATAAAAAGCTTCTGCTCCACAAAGGAAACAGTCAATGAAACAAAGAGACAACCCACAGAATCAGAGAAGATATTTGCAAATGACACTACAGATATCTTGATATCTATGGGGACTAATATCTTGATATCCAAGATCTATAAAAAATTTCTCAAACTCAACACCCAAAAAGCAAATAATCATGTCAAAAAATGGGCAGAAGACAGGAGCAGACACTTCTCCAGATAAGACATACAAATGGCTAACAGACACATGAAAAAGTGTTCATCATCATTAGCCATTAGGGAAATTCAAATCAAAACCACATTAAGATACCACCTTATACCAGTTAGAATGGCAATAATTGACAAGGCAAGAAACAACAAATGCTGGAGAGGTTGTGGAGAAAGGGGAATCCTCTTACACGGCTGGTGGGAATGCAAATTGGTACAACCACTTTGGGAAACAGTGTGGAGGTTCCACAGAAAATTAAAAATAGAGCTACCCTATGACCCTGCAATTACACTCCTGGGTATTTGCCCCAAAGATACAGATGTAGTGAAAAGAAAGGCCATATGCACCCCAATGTTCATAGCAGCAAAGTTCACAATAGTCAAACCATGGAAAAAGTTGAGATGCCCTTCAATAGACGAATGGATAAAGAAGATGTGGTCCATATATACAATGGACTATTACTCAGCCATCAGAAAGGATGAATACCCAACTTTTGCATCAACATGGATGGGGCTGGAGGAGATTATGGTAAGGGAAGTAAGTCAGTTAAAGAAAGTCAACTATCATATGGTTTCACTTACTTGTCGAACATAAGGAATAGCATGGAGGACATTAGGAGAAAGAAGGGAAAAATGAAGGGGCAGAAATCGGAAGAGGAGAAGAACCATGAGAGACTATGGACTCCAAGAAACAAACTGAAGGATTTTTGTTTTTTTTTTTTAAAGATTTTATTTATTTATTTGACAGACAAAGATCATGAGTAGGCAGACAGGCAGGCAGAGAGAGAGAGAGGAGGGAGCAGGCTCCCCACTGAGCAGAGAGCCCAATGCGGGGCTCGATCCCAGAACCCTGCGATCATGACCCGAGCTGAAGGCAGAGGCTTTAACCCACTGAGCCACCCAGGCACCCCAAACTGAAGGTTTTAGGGGGGAGGGGTGTCGGGGGATGGGTTAGCCTGGTGATAGGTATTAAGGAGTGCTCGGATTACATGGAGCACTGGGTGCTGTATGCAAACAATGAATCCTAGAACACTACATCAAAAAATAATGTACTGTATGGTGACTAATATAACACAATAAAAAAAAAAGATTTTAGTAGTTTTGAATATATTCACAAAGTTGTACACCCATCAAAATAAAAAAAAATAAAACATGCAAAGTGCTTAAAATGGTGACTGGCACATAGTATTTTACGTTGTGGGTTTTGATGATGATGATGTTAATGGTCTTGATGACTATCATTTATTTAAGGCTCAGTCAGGTAAAGTTTACATAGTTAGAATATGACAGAATCAGAATTCATCCCTAAGACAAACTAACTTTAAAACTAGTGCTCATTCAACTTTTTATGATATTCTACTTCTTTTGGCTTATACACATTTTTTTTTAAATTAAACCTTTATTTTGAGAAAATTATAAATTCACATGTAGGAGGGAATAGAGATCCCATGTACTCTTTATCCAGTTTCCACCAATGTAGCATTTTGCAAAACTATACAGTTATTTTTGAATAGTACAAGGGTTAGAAGTGCCAACCCCCCACTGCATGCAGTCAAAAATCCACTTATAACTTTTGACACCTCAAAAACTTAACTGCTAATAGTTATTGACAAGAACTATCACAATTAACCAGTCAATTAACATATATTTTGCATATTATGTGTATGGTATACAGTATTCTTAGAATAAAGTAAGCCAGATAAAAGAAACTACTAATAAGAAAATCATAAGAAAGAGAAAAGGTTAGGTTAAAATCTAACGGTAACTACATTTAAAGTATTGTCCTGTATTTACTTACAAAATCCAAGAGTAATTAGACCTGTATGGTTCAAACCTCAGTTGTTTAAGGGTTAACTCTAATAAAATATCACAAGTAAGATAATGACATACTACTATTTATTTACCCATTGAAAAACATAAAGAAGTGGGTTTTAAAAATTTATTTCATTTAGAGCGGAATTATTTCTTAGATAAATTATTTTGACAACC